ACAAAACTATCAAAGACTGTTTTTTGAAGATAAAATAAATAAAATTCAAAGGTTCTTCTTGTTCGGTGGCTAACTAACACGAAATGTGCGAGCAACTTGTGAAATGGGAGTTGGACCAAGTCGTGAGGACTTTTTAATAAGAAAATAAAATCCAATTTGTTTCATACTAAAAAAGGAAAATAGTAACACACCAACATATATAGATGTCAAAATTAAAAACAAACTCAGATCTTCGGGTAAAAAAAAAAAGGGATCTGAATATTACTTTGTACGAAAATTGAATCTCATCAAATTGATAGTTGAGAAACTAGATCCAGTAACATAATTGAACTAACATAAGATTTTTGAATTTGGTAAATGGTAAGGAATGAATTTTGTTTTTGGGTGAACGACAAATATCAAGGTTACTATTAAAAAACCAGCAAATAGTATTGGTAAAAATTTGGATGAAAAATATAGCCCACTATTATTTTAAAATTAAACATAAAAAATCGTATAGAACACTAACATAATAAATCAGTTTATAAAAACAACACATCACTCAACAAGTATATTATTATATTTGAAAAGTATTTCTGATTGGTATTCCAAATTTAAATTATTCATAATTTTCATTATGAAAAGAGGTTCATAGAGGATATGTGATCAAAGAGTAGAAACGATCAAATGGTCGAAATAAGATGACCTGGGGATTGTAAGAACAACACCACGGCGGCTAACTTCCCCACGAATCTCTTGTCCGTTGTTGCGCTTTTCAATGGTTACCTCCGCACACCAAATCTTCTTCTTCTTCAGAGTAGCAAACACATTCTTCTCCCAAAAGACTGCAATCTTTCCATCATAATTCATCAATCTAACAAAATGATAAGATTTGAATTCTTCCAAGTTACGTAGGTGTTCACAACCCTTCAAAGCCCTCCATGACCTTCCCTTAGAGTCCCACCACTCGAGCTGTCCGCCACTGTAATGACATGATACGGTATCTACCACGCAGCCATGCGAAGACCAACGCACTTTCGGTCCTACCGCGTTCCATGAGGAGAGAGCGGAATCGCTTGGAGACTAAGGAGAGACTTGGGTAGTACGATCTCGAGACTCGGGCAAAGCAATTCAACGGCAATTCATCAAGGAGGTAAGGCACCTCTCTCCTGCCGCTCGAACTCGATGAAGCACAAAACATGTGAGCACTGTGTGGAAACAGAAAGCCAAGAGTCCATATATAATATAAGAAAAGACGTTATAATAGAAAGAAAACAGAGGATTGCATTTGTTCAATATATACATACGTTTAAAAGGAGGAAGAAGAAAATGTAAAATTATGTACCCCTGGTTATGGAGTGTTACAAGTCTCCTACCGCAGAAATTAGGTTGTTGAGATTGAAAAAAACTGAGAAAACAGAAACCATAAACATTAGCATAAAATTGATTCTTGATTGGTAACATTTTTGAGTTATTAATGAATGATACCGTTAACTCAAACTAAATCAATGGTAATTCATGTTACCAATCAAACTAAATTAATGAATTTCTTTGATTTGTTTGAATTGTCTAAGATTTTGATTTTAGACAATTGTCAACATTGCTAATATGCCAAATCTCCCACCTATGAATATTGATAAACGTAAGGGCAATACACTTCGCTGCGACAACGAGATTGTTAATATTGCTCACTGATGAAGGAATACCAAAAAAAATTATGTGGTTGAGGGAAAGAAATTTCCAATTTCTATATTATGATATCTTCTATGTTTTTTTCACATTTGTTGAACATATAGTTCATCACTCGTTCATCGAAGCTAAAAACAATTTTGGCCAAAAAGCACACAAATCTTTTTACACTCAAAGTAATTTTCTATACGTGAATGCAACTCTGTTACCTCATCACAAATTCTACGTATTTCTCCTTTTCTTGGCATAACTGTTTTGTTCATATAAATTTTT